TTTAATTTGAACTCAAGATGCACTATCAATAAACAAAACTAATTAGCTTTATTACTTCATCTAACTAGACTAATAATATAAAACAAAATTTTTATAACATATTATCATACTGTAGAAGCTTTAGATTGAATCTTTAAAGATCTAATGAATTGTGCCCTTCCATTTGGTAATAAAATTGTTATATTTGATAGGAACTTTTATCAAATACTATAAATTATCTAACATAAAAACCATGCACAGATAATTAATGCTTTACTAAAATGTTCTGCTATATAAACTATGACAAAAATTTTTTATCTTAATAGAAACATAAGAGTTTAAAATGATCAAAATAACTTTGAAGATTTTTTTTTAAGAATTGAAAATAAAACTGAACCTACAATCTAAAATAACATAATCTGAATTTCTGATAACATGGTTATTTCTTGAAAAAACAAAAAATTATCACAATCTTTTATAAATTATATTTATTCAGTTCTAATTAATTAAAATTTAAATGACTCATTCTTTACTGACTAAGCAATTCTCACTACTAAAAATAATTACATTAATCAAGTCAACCAAATAATTCTAGATCAGATATCTAATAATACTATAACATACTATAGTTATAATTTTATTGCTAATAATACTTGTAGACTTTATTAACAAGGATTTCTAAATTCTATTATACCAGATGGTCTTCCTTTATACAAGTTAAACTTAAAAATAAATGTGCCAATTATATATCTTAGAAACCTAAATTTGGCAAACAGTTTATGCAATAGCACAAGACTAATCTGCAATACTTTCTATCTGAATATAAAAAAAGCTAAAATATTAATATGCTACTGTAAAGAAAATAATATATTTCTATCAAAAATACTATTATTCTCTTCAAACAATGTAAAGCTCCTATTTACTCTAAAAAGAAGACAATTTCTAGTCAGACTTGCAATTGTGCTAACAATCAATAAGTCTTAAGGTCAGATTATATCTAAGGTAGCTCTTTATTTTTTCCAATATGCATTTATACATAGTCAACTTTATGTTGCATTTTCATGTGTCCAATCTTATTATAATATTAAAGCATTAATCAAGAATACCAATATTTCAGATATACAAGGACTTTTATATGCAATATTGTCTATAAAGAAGTATTATAAGATTAAAAATTACAGATAATACATTTATAAAAATATTGCTTCATTAAGAAAAAAAATATTACAGTTAATGCTTTTTTAAATATAATCTTTCTAAAATAAAAAAAAATTTATAATAAATTATTGTCATAACATGCAAAATAGAATAGTTAAGCAATATCAGAATAATCTTTAAAAATAAAAAATAAATAATGTTAATAATACCAAAAGTTTATATTTATATTAAATCTAAATACTAAATTTATATATAAAATGCTGTTTATAAAAACATTGCATCTTTATACACAAACTAGATAATATAAAATAAACTTTTTTTAAAAAATAATTGAAGTACACATTATTAAAAAAAGGATCTTTATTCTGAAGTTGTAAAACTATTTTATATCTAATAATTAAAAACATGTATTTACTATCAAACTATACTTTTATTTATACTTTTATACATATATATAAAAAAAATATTATGTTTTATATATAAATTAATATAATATACAAATCAAATAAATTAATTCAAGTACAATTACACTCTTTTTAATAATCATTAAAAAACAAATAAAATAGAAAGAAAAATTTAAAATATAATAGATAAAGCTTAAATAAAGTGAATAATACATAAAGAAACAATCACAAATGCAAAAGACAAACTCTTACAACAACATTAATCACTATACTAACTAACAAATAAGCATTAAAGTTAACAAAATTAAAAACCAGTCCTTTGAGAACTTGGTAAAAGTCAACTTGTTTAAAGAACAAGAAATAGAATATATACCCATATATACATCAAGAAGCAATAAACAAAATATTGATATTCATGTGATAAAACAAAATACTAACAACATAAAAATAACCAATATTTAATCAAAAAGATGTTTCAACTCTCTATACTCTTCTGAACATCATGCAAAAAATTTAAAAAGTGGGCAAAACAGCTTACCTTCAACAAAATATACAATAACATTATATGTTACACATAACCAAATATCAAAAGCCATAATCAAAAACAATAACAACAATACAAATAATATAACAGTAGATAATAGAAATCTAAATATAGAAAATATAGAAGAACAGATACATGTAAATAGTATCAATAGTAGGCCTATATCTGAAGATCACAATACAAACAGAACAGCAATATAAACCAATACATGTCTTATAGTTATAGACTAAAACAAAATATAGAAAATTTAATAAATGCTGAAGATAACATAATTGCAACACAAACACAAAGTTGGACTAAGCATATAACACAACAACTAGATCTGCAGATTACTGAAAAATTTAATACAACAATCTGGTCTTTAGACAAAGTAATTACAACATCAAATGCATCATAGAAATAAAAAACTTCACAGAATACAAATTAAAAACACAACCAACAAAATACCAAATTCTGGCAGCTATATATCTTAAATTTAAATATCTAGATTCAGCCTTTTTCACATTGTTTATAACAAATAGACAAACTATGCCTGCTTATTAGATTGAATTCATAAATTTATTCAAAGAAGCTGTTAAGAAGTACAAAGAAAAAAATGGAATTATACTAACAAACAGACAAACTCAAGATACTATTCAACAAATGATAAGGCAGAAACTTATAATAGAATACTTAATAAATCTTAATTCTGATATAGCAAACCAAATAATATTTGTAAAATAGTTAAATACTGTTATAACTTTATTCAAGCACAGCCAATTGAAAATATAAAAAAATTACAAAATGAAATTAATTAGACATACAGCACATTATGACATCCCACACCCAGTAAACTATCAAAAATTAATATCAAAACTATAGCAATTATATCTTTTAAACTATTAATTACTAAAAGATCTCAAACTCAAGCTATAGCAAGCTTATTACATATGCTGTTCTATTTTACAACCTTATCAGAATCATATTTTACATTATTATCTAAACTGCTCAACAATTTTTAAAAACTTAAAGAAGAATTAAAATCTTTTTTTTCAATAACAGATTCTAAGCAACTTTGACAGCTAAGATACTATAGTATAAAACTAATTGATCATTACAAGTTTGACAAAATTCCAGCAGTATACTTCAACTTGCCATCTAGCAAAGAGCCACTACCAACTACATATTATAAACTAAATAGCAGAGTAGATATCTATTTCTATTAGACATGTCAAAAGAAAATACAGATATTTAAAAAATAATAAACTTACTAAGAGAATACTATAGATTTAAACTACTACCAAATGACTTTTTTGTACAAAAGCCATTGTTACCAAAAGATACACAAAACATAAAACTCAAAACTCAATTCTGCTATCTTATAACTAATAATAACATAACAAAAGAATTTCTAAACTAGGCAAAAGTAAAATACGAAATACAGTTTTCTATAAGCAAAGAAGTAATGACTAGCAATTCAAAAAATAAACCAAGACTTCCAAACAATAGTATAAAAATTACAGAGCACAATATTACTATACCAATTATATCTCCTAGAATACTAGTAGATATAGCCAGACTAATTTATAAACACTATTACTTTGATCAAATACTAGCATACTGAATTGAAATACTGAATAAACAACAAGAAACAAAGGCCAAACCTAATGCAACAAACAAACCAACAATTCTATCAACATTAGTTCAATTATAAGGAATGCTCAAAAACAAAACAAATAAGATATATATTAGTTTACTAATTACATAACAAGCAGACATTACATTTACATTAATGATGCTTAGACAACATTTTGAAATTTCAAAAATTCCAAACTATATTCTACAACTACCATCACTTCTAGAACCAATATGGGACATTCTACCAATAATAATAACTAAGTTATACCAAAATAAAAACAACAACACTAAAGAAAAAACAATAAACAAGCATTATAAAACAGTATCAACTAAATCAACTAAAGTAATCCTATATAATACATAAGACACTAACAGCAAAATCAAACAGCAAGCTCAAGAAAAAAAGAATTTACAGATCAAAAAAGAAGAAATAAAGATATTACTAGAGCTTGTCATAGAAGAAAAAAACTTCTTTTTGCTTTTTGAACTTAAGTAGTTAGATAAGCAACCTACCTCAACATGTTTGAAGTAGTGCAGCAAGTTGCACTTAGATACCATTTGGGTGGCCAGGTGATGCTAGACTTAGTTATTAGAGACATTTATGTAATTGCTAATGTAATTTCAAAAATCCTAATAAAGTACTAACATGGCTGCTTAAGTTTTAAAAAAAAAATAAAATAAAATAAATCAGTTTACTATTATTTATAATTAACAATATCTGCATCAGACTTAGGTAATCTTGAATCACTATGCAAATGATGACCTATAACCTGTTTACTATTTTTGCTCTTTTTAAATATATTGCCTTCTAATATATTTTTAACTTAATTATTATAAACAACTCATTCAAATTATTAACTTTACTTAACATCTCATTATTACTACTATTAATATTAAATACATTAGTGAATTCATTACTATTTTCAATTCTTGCATGCTTAGAACATAATGCAAGTTCAAAATTATCATCAACAAAATTATTAAAAGATTTGAAAGTAAAATCTTAACCTTATTAATACCTTTCTGACTTTTATTAATATTATAATATGTAAAAAGAAGTTTTGACTAAGTACTATTAATAACTTTAATAAACTATTAGAACTATTGTCAAAAACTCTTCTCTTAAAAGAACTGGTTAATATCTTTAGCATAAATATAAAAATTGTTAAAATGACTTTCAACTGCACAACACTAAAAATAAGTAATTCTTGTAGATGAATTGCATTTTTCAAGAATGAAAATTAAGAATTAAGATGTAAGAAGACAACTTTAATCATAAAATTATCATCTTGACCAGTCTAATTATTAATTATCATGTTAAAAATAGTATTCTTATCATTATTTAACACATTTAGTAATTTTTGTGCAGTTGCAATAAGAAAAATTCTCAAAGGACACTTATTTAATTTGGGATCCTTATTCAAAATCATCACATAAGTAGAAGTTAAGACTATTATCTATAATAGAAAAAAAATAACAAATAAACAAATATGTTCTATAAAATCTCTTATTATTTAATCAATACCTTTGGTCTCTTCTTGTCTTCATAAATTCTAGATATGATTTTACTACCAACAGAGTAATAATCATCTCTTTTAAAAATGGCTTGAGTTTCAATTATATTATCTTTATGCCCCACTAGATAAGCACCAACAGGCCATAATGTAATTAGATTACTATCCTCTTTCATACTCAAATGAACATATCTTACTTTCATAATAGTATCTATATAATATGACATAATATCTTAATATGCTTAAATTATGTATACTGTACAAAATATACTGATTTTTATATAAAAAAAATAAAATAAAAATCTCAAGACAAATATTTCTCATTTTATATAGATTTTTAACAAAACAAAACTCACAACAAAAACCTACAAAAAAATTTACATATACAAAAACTATTAACTACAAGAAGTTAAAAAATGACATCAAAATTACTACATAAGAATAAAATATTAGCAAAATTAAAACACTATAAAAAAGCTCAAATATATATCAACTTCTTTCAAAATTTCACATAATCAGATAATATGTAATTGATCTCAAAAATTCTCACACAAATAATATCTCAAAATAATTCTAAATAAAACTGTATAAAATAAAAACATATCATCTAACACGTAAGCTAAAGAAAATCTATCCCTTGACATGCATATTACAAAATTACATAATAATTCATAGAAATAACACACTAATATAATATAAACAAAAATCTTAAATTTTATGAAATCAATTTTATATCTATTAAGCTTAATAACAAAACACAAAAACATAAGTCAATCATGCATACAAACAGCATAATTATAACGAAAAATAAAAATAATTACAATAAATTAATCTAATAAACTAAAATTATTAATCTAAAACAATAATTAAATTATCAATCTTATACAAACTTTAATTTTAACTTCAATAATAAAACAACTTTTAAAATTATATTAAAAATAATAACAAATTACATAGAGTATGGTTTACTAGCAAGTAAAATAATGTGTACAATTCTCAACATATAATTGGGATACCTCTGGGTCGATAGCGCAGTGGTTAGCGCTCCGGAGGTCATAATCGCAAGGTTGCCGGTTCGAGTCCAACTGG